ACTACTACTACTACTACTACTACTACTACTACTACTACTACTACTACTACTACAGAATCAACACCAACAAGAGCAAGAGGGGCAGGATAAAATATGTCGTAATGGGAAAGAGTAGAGAATAATTTTACTTCGGAGAACTGGAGGAGTCTTTTATCTTTTGTTATCATTTGAAATGTAACCTAACGAAGGACGGTTTGCTCTGTCCCTTTAAAAAAAAAACTCTATTGTTGTATATTGGAAATAAGGGGGAGTAGGAATGAGGGTGAGAGAAAGGTGTGAATAAGCGAGGTCTGGTTTCACAACTGATGTTAATGGTGCTTCAGTAATTCCAACTCATTTTCTGAAAGGTGAACGAAATGATAAATGGTATGGTGCTGTGGGTTTTGTTTTATCTTTTATAGGGAGAGAAAAGGGGCGCGCAGCGAGCGTCGGAAAATGGAAAGAAGGGTAGCGCAAAGTTCAAAGTTCACAGCGGCTGATACTTTGAAGTTCGGTTTGTTCACAGGAGAAAGTAAGCATTTTTTAAATTCTGTTTAATGTATGAGTTTTTCACAAAACATCGACACTATTAAATTTATATTATACAGGAGGCTGGCTTCAACTCTAACTTTTATGGGCAACCCGGGCTGAAAAGGTTACACTGTCCCTGCAGAGAGACCGAGATATTCCATTAAAATTATTCCCACTCGGGAATGGAACTCAGGTATTCTGCTTGCGACGGTGAAGCGTCTAACGGGACAGTTCGTAAAAAGGAGAACAGAAAGATATTTAGTACATGTACTGGGTTGAGGGAGATGCAAGAATAAGGAAGGCAGGAGTTCAGGGGTGGGGGGACGGGGGTATAGCAGAGCGGAATAGTCACGCCAACAGAAATGTAAGAAATTATTTAGGGGTTGTTGTTTTTTGTTCGATGTTTGTTTGTAGTTGTTTGTTTGTTGTTTTTGTTTTGTTTTGGTTTTGGGTTTTTTTTGTTTTTCCTTCTTTTTTGTTTGTTCTTTTTTGTTTGGTTTTGTTGTTGTTGTTGTTGTTCTTGCTGTTGTTTGTTTTGTTTTGTTTTGTTGTTGGGTTGTTGTTGTTTTTTTGGGGGTAAGTGTTTTACGGCGCTCGCAACTACATAATGTCATATGAGCGGGCGGGATACACCAAACATTTTCAGTCGATAGGAAATTTTGAATTTTGCCCGGGTGGCGCCGAAGCCTACTCTTGTCGATTTTAGACCAAATGGGGATCTTTAACGTGCGCAGCTTGCACACGGGACCTCAGAGATTTTTCGCCCTTGTCCGAGAAGGCTAGGTGTAGATCTTTCCTACTAGAAGATCAAAGGTGTGGCTGAAAGTCCGCAGTATGAAAGAGCCAAGGATTTGCAGTAGAAAAGCTGCAGAATGAGTCAAGGGCCAAGAAGGGTGGGGGGGGGGGGCAAGGGAGGTGAGGGAGTGGGGGCAGAAAGTGGAGATTATTGCTAGAGGGAAGGAAAGGGGGTGAAAGGAGACAGTTTTAGAGAGAAAAAAATGTTTCGTAGCTACCCGGATTCAAACCAGAGACCTTTGAACGTGAGACAAACACCTTAACCTCTAGAGCCCCCTATATAGGTTTAACGCACCTTTCAACACAGTAAGGTGATTTAAGAGGCGGTCAAAAGAATATAAAATCCATCTCCGAAAGGATCGAGCAAAATGTGTCAAGAGCCTTAAATTCCCAAACAACCCAAATCTAGAACACCCCTCTGGGAATTCGAACCAGAGCCATCCACCCAATAGTTCAACATAATATCAACTACTGAGCAAACAGGGGACCCCAAAGCCACGTTATTGTATTTCTCTTTGTATTATTTTGGACCACAACAACGATATACAGTATGGCCTTTCAATAATGAAAATGGAGGAAGGGGGTTGGGGGGGGCGATAAAACGTTCACAGCAATCTGAGTGGGTGGGATAGAAACTTAAGAAACTCTTCGGCTCGTGTCCCTCGCGTCAGTTATTTTAGAGAAAAAAAAACTGTGGGATAGAAACTTAAGAAACTCTTCGGCTCGTGTCCCTCGCGTCAGTTATTTTAGAAAAAAAAACTAACACAAAATGAAATGTAACGTGTTGACTGTAATAACTAAACAAGGAAGCTGGTGTTGCTTCAGTAACGAGAAGACTGTTTTGAGGAGCTAAAAAATCAGCCATGAAAACTTTTGAACTGCATATCGGACTTGGTGAACTTAAAGGAAACAACGTGCTGTACCCAGGTACGGAGAAATGTTGAGCTGCAAAATAATTGAAGTGTACTCAGCCTATTGCTGTTCGAACTCAACAACCACACACACGGACGGGTCAGCCTGTTCTCTTTGGGTAAGTGAGCTATTTACTGTCAATATTTTTAACTTGTGTTGTCAGCTCCCTTTCTATCCTGATTAACACCACCCCCCCCCCCCACCTCTCTCTCTCTCTCTCTCTCTCTCTCTCTCTCTCTCTCTCTCTCTCTCTCTCTCTCTCTCTCTCTCTCTCTCTCTCTCCCCATCCTTTTTCCTCTCTGTGTCAGAACACCGCTTATCGGCGAATGTCTAATCAGACTGAACACTTAATCAGTAATGGAGGTTGCTGGGGAGGGGCACAGTGGGAGGAGTAGGGTTAGGAGAGATCCTAAAATTTACGTGAATCCAATACCGGATCATCATCATCATCATCATCATCATCATCATCATCATCATCATCATCATGGATGTTGATGTTTTTTTTGTTATTATTGTTGTTGTTGTCGTCGTTGTCGTTGTTGCTACTGTTGTAAAAGCTAGCTGTAAACATCAAAGGACATACATATGTGTGCGCGCGAGTGTGTATGTGTGTATAAGTGTGTGTATGTGTGTGTGTGTGTGTGAATGTGTGTGTGTGAATGTGTGTGTGTGTGTGTGTGTGTGTGTGTGTGTGTGTGTGTGTGTGTGTGTGTGTGTGTGTGTGTGTGTGTGCGCGCGCGTTACATCATTTATCATTCAGGTTAAAAGCTTTGGGAAATTATTGCTCATACTAAACTTGGGCAACACGGAGCAGGTTATAGAAAAGATGAGTTGGAAAAAAGAGGGGAGGGGGTAGGAGAAGACTCATTACATTGTTCACATGGGAAACAGGGAAAGACACCAGAGCAAAACGATGAGCGTGTAAAGAGAAAGGATACACGCATAGAAAGAGATGAACTGGCAATTAGTGTTTTCCTCCCCGTTGACTCAATAATACTGGATATCAAGGAGGCGGGCTGCTTCGACCCCTGCCTGTCAGAACCAAACCGGGCTGAGTGGGGATTTCAGCAGACCGACGAAAACACTCGCTAAAATTATAGACTAAATGAGGACTCGATCTAACGTCTTTAGCGAGCAAGGGCGAAGAGACAAACTTTTACACCACTTATACCGGAAGGAGATGATATGGAGAGGGAGAAGGAAAGGCAGAGAGACAACAGATGGAGAGTCAGAGACTGCGAAACAGAAAGACAGAGACGCAGAGACAGACAGAAAAACAGAGAGAGAGACAGACATGGAGACGAAAAAGGAGAAAAATCGGACAAGACAGCGGATGGTTATCCACGCATTCCCAAGTCCGCATTCCTCTCAATACTGAGTTCTACTACGCATCAAGCTAAACAGTGCACAAAGAATATCTTTGCTGTACCTCAAGACACATTTGTAGCACAACGGCCCATCTGTTGTCTGTCACAATATTATTCTACCCTCGAATCTA